GCTTCTAAAAAAATATTCAATGAAAAAGACAATTGACGCTTTTAAAATGATCGAACTTACCAAATATTATAAAGACTTCTTTCTCCAAAAATAAAGTGTGAGAGTGTTTATCAGAGAAATCAGGGAAATGTAAATAACAGATATAAAAAAAAAAACAACTACACGTAATCATGTTATTATGTAAATCATTTTTTTATTTTGTAAAATTTGATTGGTCGAATTAACTGATTATAACGGTTAACGTTAGCTGAGATGAATTTACTAGAGTTCACTCCCCTTCCCCCTTCCTGAGATAGTTGGCCTTTCTGATTGGCTATATGCGTTTATTTAAACCTGAAATTTTATCTACCCCCTACGATATCAGCTGATATATGATAGTAACTTATGGTTTGGCGATGCCAATCCTTACCAATGAATACTTGATGGTCTGTCAGTATGTTGATAATGGAAATCTTTATAAATATTTAAGAAAAAATTTTAGAGAACTTACTTGGTAGATTAAATTGCAATTGAAGATATTTCATTTAGCTTATCTGTTATGTCATATTCACAATTTTGCAGGATACATTAATGCTAATTTTCACATTGGTCATATTTTGCATGACCAACGCAATACTGAAAATGCACAATCTTATATCGCAGATTTAGAATTGTCTAGAAGGCAGGATGAAAATATTTCGGAAGGTGATATTTATGGAGTCATGCCCTATGTTGCTCCAGAAGTTTTATTAGGAAAAGAATTTACACAAACTACTGATATTTATGGCTTCGGTGTTATCATGGCAGAAATGTCAACTGGACAAAGGCCTTTTGATGGTTATAAATTCGATACTAACCTTGGAGTAAAGATTTGTAGAGGAGAGAGATCAGAGTTTGCTCCTGGAACTCCTGATTGCTATGTTGAATTAGCATGGATTCTGATTCAAAAAAACAACCTCGTAATTCACATAATAAGATTAATAGTTGGCTTAATGAGATAGCAAGTTCAGATTAAGAAAATGAAATTAAAAAACAATTCTTGGATGCAAATGAAATCATTAAAACATTACTAATTATCTCACCAAGCAATCCGGATCATATGTACACTAGCAAAATTATCAGTACAAAATTAATTTCAAATGCGATTAAAGAAGGTAAATTTACTGGTATATATCTGATACTAAATTATGCTTAATAATAATAATATAAAAATATTTTTATTTAGATTTGTCTCAAACTGATTCTACTTAAAATAGTCGGATATCCATTGAATCATCCCAATATATTTTCGACAGATCCAAGCACTAATTTCAAAGAGTATGTTTCTAATTTTAAATATAGGACTTTAAATTACATAATTTTACCTCATTCATATTATGTTATCACATGTATTCGTTTTACAAAGTACAAAATAGACTCTTTTATTAATTCCGTATGTAATGATACAAATCGAAAATCGAAAAATCGATTAGTTGTCAACTAAACCAACTAATCGATTCGAAATTGTTTAAAAAAAAAATAATTTATCGATTGAAAAATTTTGTCAACTTTAAGTTATAATAAATAATCGATCAAAATCGATAAATCGATTAGTTGACAACTAATCGATTGAAATTTTTGAATGTCAACTAATCGATTGAAAAATTGCCGTATGACTGGTATATATATATATATTTTTTTTTTTAAAAAAAAAAAAAAAAAAAAAGTGCGTATTTTAATAATGAATAAATCAGAAAAACAGTAACAACTATATGTGATATAAATAAAGTTACGATAATATCGAAATTGTAAAAATAATTTAAATAATTTCAAAATGTAGAAAGAATCAAAGATTATAAAATATCTCCCCGGGAAAAGAATATTCACTACTTGATATAATAAATTTATATTTAAATAAAAATCTTTTTAATATAATGAAGTTTATATATATATTAAGAGAATACAGTATTTATCATAATAAAGTAAATTAATAATAATTGTTAAAAATTGGTTTATCGTTATCTATAAATCTTCATTATGTCGAGAGTAAATTTATTATAAAATTTTATAAGCCAATCTTCACTATATCGAAGGCTCACTATAACGAGAGTGATTTGTATAATTTTTCTTTAAATTATAATAGCATAGATTTAGGAGTAAATTCTTTTAAAGTAGCATCGTAATTATAGATAATCTATGACACTTCGGTATCGACTTTGAAAAATCGCATAAATAAGACCACATGTTGGACTTTTTTAATTGGCTATATGGCGATTTCATCCAATAAGAATGTGGTTGTTTGCGTAGAATCTCATTTGAAACACTTCTATATCAGGATAAAAAAGAAAATGAAATATGCACGTGATCATTATTAATGTTAAAAAATCGTTTCTTTTTTTTCTGGAACATACAATATTTCTTTCAATTTCCCATATTAAAAAATGTTTGACGTTAGTAAGCCTTTAGCAGTACAAGAATTTTTGATTGAAAAGTTTTATCATGAAATCTGTTATAGAAAGGCTTCTAGGTTTGTTTGTCTTTTGTTGTAATAATATGATTAATGAGTATTTCTAATTTCACTTTCGCTATATCAGACGTGTCGCGTGGTCTCCTCAAAATTTGATAGCGTGGTCACCTATTAATAACGATGCATTTGATTCTCGGTATCCAAGTTCAACTCCAAATATTGGCATTTTTAATCCATGTAGGCTTCCCTCAAGCGACGGCACTGCGGGATCAACTTGGGCTTTCACAAAGAAAAGTAATTTATTTCCTATTAGTACTGAAAATCATCACCATCAGGGCGATGAAATCACTGATCTAGTATGGAATCAAACTGGCTCTGCACTGGCTTCAATTGATCAAAGAGGTAAAATTGCTTTATGGGCGATGGACAATTTTGTGAATGAATGGAAATGTATATATAGTGTTGATCTTGGTGGAAGTATTGTCGAATTCGCATGGCTAGATTATGTACGAGTGGTAAGCATCTGAGTTTCTAGTAATAGTATTTTTGGAAATTTAAATAAAGTTTCTAGTAATAGTATTTTTGGAAATTTAAATAAGAAAGTCGTTTATTTTCATCCTTTTCAATATCAATTCCATGATCATAGCAATAACCAAGTAATGAATATTCCTTTAGAATCTCTAATTTCTCATAATTATTAAAACTCATATGACTTAAATTGTTAATGATTTTAGTAATTTCTTCATCTGACATTTTTGTCATTTAAAAACGAAAAATATTCTAGAAGAAATAGTTGTTTTTAGTATCATGCAAAATAAGAATAATGTTTTACAATATGCATACAAAGCAATACAAGGTCTATATTAGAAGTTATTTGGTTTACATTACAGTATGTGCTATTAGTAGAATTGAAATCTTCTTTATTTAAGTCTCCAAATTTGACTAAGTTGAAAATTAGGATTTGAAACTATAAATCCTGCTAAAATCCACTTATACTTTTTAATATAAACCCTAACCCTAAATTCTAACCTGACTATAAAAAAAAAATACCTCCAAAATTTTAAAAATTTCATAATAAAATATAAAATTTTTTAGCTTCAGCCGTTTTCAGCTTTAGCTCCATATTAATAATTTGCAATTTTGTAAAACAAGAGTTAGCATTCCACTATTGCAGTGCGTGTAAATTAATTAGTTAAAGTCACGTTCATTCATAATTCTTTATAACTACTCTCGAAAAATTCTATGCAGCCAATTAAATTGAAAGATCAAGTACTAAACTTTCGATTTTAATAACAAAAGTTCTTTGCAAAATTTTAGGGTTCATCTTTACAATCACTATCCCTATGCACAGAACATTTTGGAAATGTGATGATAGAGGAGGTGTATAAATAATATAGTAGTGTACTATACAATCGTGACCTGATTTTCTCATAGCGAAACGTGTCATATAGTTCTATGTTACCCATAGTAAAATGATTCAAGATATTAAAACAGTAATAGTCACGTTCGTCCAATAAAAATCTCGATTTAT